ATCCTCAAACTGATGGGCAATCTGAGAGAACTATTCAGATACTTGAGGACATGTTGAGGGCTTGTGTTCTAGATTGGAAGGGTTCGTGGGATCAACACTTATCCATGGCTGAATTCGCATACAATAATAGTTATCAGTCCAGCATCTACATGGCACCGTTTGAGGCTTTGTATGGTCGAAGGTGTAGATCACCTGTTTGTTGGATGGAAGTGGGCGAAAGGAGCATTTTAGGCCCAGAATTGGTGCAGCAATCTTCTAAGATTGTGCAATTGATCAAGGAACGCCTTCGTGCTGCACAAAGCAGGCAGAAAAGCTATGTGGATAAAAGGAGACGAGACCTTGAGTTTGAAGTTGGTGACCATGTATTTTTTAAGGTGTCACCCACTTGAGGTGTTCTCAGGTTTGGCAGTCGGGGAAAATTGAGCTCGAGGTATATTGGGCCATATCCTATCTTGGAAAGGATTGGCGAGGTAGCTAATAAACTGGAGTTGCTTGGAAATTTAACGGGTGTGCATGATGTGTTCCATGTGTCCTTACTTCGAAAGTATGTTCCCGACCCGAGTCACATCATTAATCCCGAACCAATTCAACTCCGGGAGGATCTTACTTATGACGAGCACCCGATCCACATTTTAGATTTCAAGGAGAGGATAATGCGGAGAAGGACCATTCGTTTTGTTAAGGACCTCTGGATAACCATTCGGTTGAAAAAGCTACTTGGGAGTTGGAATCCAAGATGAGGCAGGAACATCCGCACCTCCTCCAAGATTGAGGTATGAGTTTAGGGGACTAAACTCCTTTTTAGGAGGGGTGGATGTAATACCCCAAAATTTCCTAGAGCATTAAAGTTGAGTTAGGGACCAAATTGTGAGGAAACGTTCTTATGGACCTAATAGTCAAATTTTTGAATTTTAAAGGGGTAAAATCTTTTTGGATAAGGCCGGCTGACTCATTTCCTTTTTTTCCTTTTTCTTTTTCTTTCTTTCTTTCTTTCTTTCTTTCCAGCCATTTTCAGGTCTGCTCTGTTTTCTTTTCTCCTTGCAGTCGAACATCACCAGCCATTTCCAGCGCCTCCACCTGAAAAATTGGTAAGAGAACTTGATGATTTTTGTTCTCCTATTGCCCAAGAACAAGTCTAGGACTTAGAAATCCTCTCTCTTGCAGAGAAGCCACCGGATTTGCTGTCTTCTCCCCTCCCTTGTCGCCGGCTGTTGTTGGGTACAAGTCTTGGTTTTTCTGGTAAAATCAGCCCATAAACTCCTCTTTTCAGCCTTAATTTATGTGGGTTCATCTTAATTTTGTTCTTTCAATTGCTAGAAGTCTGCGTGAAGCTCCTCCAATTCTCGTCGGTCCTCCTATACTCGTTAGCTCCAACTTTGCTTGTTGGGAATTTTTGGTAAGTTAGCTTCTCTAGTCTCTGAGAATTGGTTGATTAAGTGTTGATTTGTGAGTTTAATTGGTTGTATGAAATGGGCTTGGGTTGTCCAAAAATTCTGTTGAAATAGGGATGAATTTTGGCTATTTGAAAATGGGTTTTGGTTGATGATTTGTGTAGGAAATTAGTGGGTTTGGTTGTTGTGTGATGTCCAAGAGAAAAAGGGGTGAATTCTGTGAATTGGCCTTTTTTTTTTGCCGAGGCCGGTTCTCCCAAATTCTTGTCCATGAGTTTGAAAATTTTATATGTGTAATTGTATAATTGTATATACATAGATAAATACCCAATCCCGGTGAATGCTCAATTTTTGGATAGAAAATAAAAATAAAAATAAATAAAGAAATAAAGTTTCTTTATAGATATTAATTCGAACATATTGTGATTAGGTCATTGATTGCCCCGTGATCCTAGCACTTGGATTAGGTTGTCTGTCATGTGCAATTAAGGTGAGTAAATTATGGTAATGCCCTTAAGTTTTTGAAGCATATTTTAATTGTTTTCTGAGATGGTGGCGAGGTTTAAATGGATTTATTTGCATTTGAGTATGATTAAAAAGAGAAGTTGAACTTTTATTATTTTCATTATTTTCTAGAATTGAGCATGCCCACGTGAGATTCTTCGGTTTATTTTTGAAAGTGAGAACAATCGTGAATCGTGGTTTTCTGTAAATCTTGCTGGGTTTTGTCTCTGATGTGGTCATGTATTTAGTGACCTTACTAGTGGGGGAGGTTTACAAACACTAGCACATGTCGACATGTTAGTGATAGAACCGATTCGCTCGTGATATCCTACTAGTGGGATTATACACTAGTAATCGTGTGCCCGCCAGTGGGAGGTTTATAACACTGGCTATGACTAATAGAGGAGACCACTATGTGATTTTAGTTTGCATCAATGGTTTGCTATTGAAACGCTCTGTTTATGTTCAATCGATTATTTGGCATGCTTTAAATTTTGATTCCGGGCACCCATGTTTACTTACTGAGATATTTTTATCTCACGGTTTCCTTGTCCGCCATTTCAGGTAGTGAGACCTGACGCGTGGGAAGCCCAGGGGAGTGACAAGCTAAACGGCTAGGCACTTTTGGACTTAGGTTTTTGTAGCTAAGCCGTTAGTCACCCATGCTTGACATAGTAAATTTTGTGTACATAATTTAGTGTTAGTCATGATTGTATATATGAAGTGATAAATTTTGTACATCTGACTGGTAAATATTTGGTAATTAAAAAGGCTTAGATCTGAATTACCTGAATTGTTGAGTTCATAAGTATGAACTCAGTAAGTTCCGAGCCTTGTGTATTTGTGGGACCCTCTCACGAGTGCACGGCGTCTGTCGCGCCTCGAATTCTGGTTTTGGAGCGTGACAAACTATTTAAAATATAATAATAACCCAACCCTTTTTATGTTATATCATTCAAGTTTTATTAATATTTCATAAAATTATACTTATTTCTTTTTTAATTATAAGTTTTGGGTCTCAGATTTTCAATACGTCGTGGGCCAAGATGTCTTGATTTTTCATTTTTGCATAAATCTATCTAGTTAATTGTTTTAGATTTGATGCTTTTCATCCTCTATTTTGTATTTTTTTTGTTTGGCTCAACTGTTTAGTCATGTTGCATTAGAAATTTATTCTATATCTATCAATATATTAAGAGAGAAAATAATAAAGGAAAATCATATTATGTACTAAATTTTTATATAATCCTTAATTTAAGGTACTTTTAACATATTATAAAACTTTTTTTATTTGGTAATTTGTTTTACGATTGAGTATTTCTTAAATTATTATTTAATGAGATCAAATAATGTCAAAGTCTAAAATTATGGTAAAAAAAAAAAACAAAATCAAATTCAAAAGCTTAATTAATGCCACTTGACTACTATACCCTTAATATATATTTGTTGTTACTTTTTGTTAATTTAAATTTTTTTTAAATCAAAAATTGATAAAAGAAACCAATTATTTAGATAAAATTATATGAGAAAAGTGTATATTAAAACATTTAATTCACAATAATAAAAGAAAAATTACTAAATTTTTTTTATTATACTACTTGTTAAATTAAGTATTTATTATTTTTAAGCCCAATTTTTTTTTAGAATTTAGGAAGAATAATTTTATGTTTCAAAATTTAAAATTTAACATGAAAAATCAGAAATTTAAACTATAAAGTTTTAGAATTTAACATTTAGTTTTATAATTTTAGAGTTTTAGATTTTCAAATTTTAGAGTTCAATAATAAGAATTTAAATTTTGAAGGTTTTAAAATTTATGGATTAGAATTTTAGGATTTAAATTCGGACTAGGATTTAATATTTAATATTTTTT